TGCGACTCGCAACCCTCGATAAGAAAGCTATGGATCCAATTACATCCCACACCACTGAGGTGAGAGAGCCTCAAAAGAAGAGTACTACAAAACAGCACGTGGATGCGCTTGATGAGACAACTACTAGGTTGCGCTATGATGTGGACGATCTCAAGGAAAAAGTCGAGATGGCAGAATCCTAGATTCATGGATTACACATCCAACTGGATGAAAGCCAAAGGGCTTGCGCAACAATGACTGAAACTATTGCAATCATTCCTTATCTGCAGGATGAAATGGAAGCGTTGAGAGCTCAATTATGAGTACTCCAATTTGCAGTGGGCAATGGGCAAGATCCCGTACCTCAGTATGCTCCTAAACTCAGAATTCCTGAACCGTGTACTTACGGAGGGACACGTGATGCAAAAGAAGTCGAAAACTTCTTGTTTGACAAGGAACAGTACTTTCTCGCAATTTCGATCGAAGACGAAGCAAGAAAAGTAACCACAGCTACCATGTATCTGGGTGGAGATGCAAAATTATGATGGCGAACCAAATATGCTGATATTTAGGCCAACATGGTCCAAATAGATTCTTGGGATCTCCTCAAGGAAGCGATCAGATCACAATTTTTCTCAAAAAATGTCGAATATCAGGCTCAGCGGGCACTTCGAGACCTGAAACATGCAAGCTCTATCAGGGAGTATGTGAAAGCCTTTTCAGGGCATATGCTGAATATTCGAGATATGAGGAAAAAGGATAAGCTCTTCACCTTTATGGAAGGGTTGAAACAGTGGACGCGCACGGAACTTAAAAGACAGAAGGTTACTCGAGATTTGTCATACATCATTTTCATCCCCATGAGAAATGTGAATGATTGGATGGGACAAGGTATGAAGAAGCAATCAAGGCTTCTTGACAATTGCTATTTTGCTATGATGGTTGAGTCTATGGGAATTGCAAGTGCAAGTGACCTTTATCAATTAGGGTTTTAAATGGATTGGATTTGTCCGATCCGATTAGTTAAGAATAATTATTCTATTCGATTCAATAATCTAATGGATATTTGATTGTTAAATCCATATCCGATTTACTATGTTATCGGGTATTCGATCTGATAACTCGAACCAAAATTTAAAAAATTTAAAAGATAAATTTTTTATATTAATCAACTTCTAAGCCAAGAATTAAGAAGCCCAAATATCTTCTTACCCAATTCTTGGCCCACCTATTTATAGATTGTAAATTTTATGATATTCTAGTGAATATCCGATGTGGGAAGAGAAGTCGGGAATAATGAAATTAACTCCAACCATTGGTTCCTTTGGTTGTTTAATTTATAATAAAATAAATTAATTATTATTTTTATCTTATTTTAATTAATAAAAAATTTAAATCTCTTCAAATATTTCAATTAACAATATTATATTATTCTTATTATTATATAATATTATTTATTATTTGAAATGTATGAGTAGAGTATAATACAAGTTTCAAAATGGAAAAAATTATGTGTAATAAATTATGTAATAATATATAAAATATATTATATCATTATAATAAGTTGGATTGGGTTGTTATTGGATCGGATTGACATATTTACATATTTGCTTCATTTAGTTAACGGATTATCGAATTCGGAACTTTATCAGGTTATCAGACCGAAACTCTAAATTCATCTCCCATTTATTTTATCAATTTCGGATCAAAATCCAATACATTGACAGCCCTATTATCAATCACCAACTTTGGATAAGTGCGGCGAGGTAAGTGACAGTGATGAATCAGTCACCCTCGTTGTCGACACATGGAGGGGAAAAGCCTGTCCAAGATTTTAGATTGCCTTGTGCACCTTGAACTCTACAAATACATCTGCAAAGTTAAGGTACATGAAATCTAGAATTTTAGCCAAAACTCTCAACTTGCCTCCATACACCCAAATTTTATCATCAGACTTGATTGTCTGAGTACACACGATCATTATACCTCCCATTGGAGCTACAATCTTACATTCTAATGTTATTTTGGTGCTAGTACCACAAAGGTGGACAAAAAGGTGATCGATTTCTGTTGACCTTAGGGACGGAAAGAGGAGATAAAGTAAAATGGCAAAATAATGATAATAATAATAGAAGATGAAATGCTAACACAGAGAACATGGATACGAGGGAAGTGACATTTTTTCTGTCCAAAAATTTTTAAAATAAGCATTACAAATGAAAGTATGCAGAAGGGCGTTATCATATAACGGTTGCTGTTCCAATATTCCAAACTAAGATTTATTCATTTTCAGATTAAACTTAACAATTCGATTAGGGCTCAATTTGGGAATATTGGTCCTGAAACTATCTTACAAGCATGGCTGGCTAGTGGCTAAGTTTATAAATCCTCTTGGCGGCTTGGCCAAGTACTAAGAAACGCCATTGCTCATAGCTGATTTCAACTTGAGAGGAAGATAAGTGGGACCAGATGATCAGAAATTATTACCAGCCTTACAATCGAAAATTAAATTAAAACAAAGATTCAAGAAATGAAGCTACAAACCTGCGTCACAAATTTGACAAGATTTTTCGATAGAGAAAACTGTGAAGCAGCCAACAAAAATCACCATGGCTGCAACTTCAACAGCATCACATCTTCTCTTTTCAAGTTCCCAATCCATCATCTCTCGATTCCCCCCCTTCCAGCTATGCGGTTTGGATGCCAAGACCCTCCATGGTGGCCCGAGGAAGAGGACGAGGGTGGCAAGTGGTGGAGGAGTCCGGTGCATGGCAGTGACCACGGAGGCGGAGAAAAAGAAGAAGACTGGTTATGAGATTAAGACATTGACTAACTGGCTGTTGATGCAAGAACAGGCTGGTACTATTGATGCTGAACTCACTATAGTACTTTCGAGTATTTCAACTGCGTGTAAGCAGATTGCTTCTCTAGTTCAAAGGGCTAGCATTTCTAACCTCACTGGAATTCAAGGCGCTGTTAATGTGCAAGGAGAGGATCAGAAAAAGCTTGATGTCATCTCCAACGAGGTCCGTGTCCGTGTTAAAGACTAAATTTGAATAAACGTCTAATATAATCCCTCTAAATGCTTGAACTTTTAGATATAACAACGTGACTAGGTATTAGAGCGTGTATAATCCATTTATGAAATATTGTGCAATGAGGCAAAAATGAATCTGACTCCCACATTATGGGTGCATTGGAACACTAAATTTAAATTAATAAACGGTAATATCTCTATTAGTTTAAGCTTTTAGAAACTGATTTACTAGTATGTCATTAGCACAATTTAAATTAATTTTGATGGGCTTTTAAGGCCTGAAATGCACAATAATTTGATGAAGGTGGGGTTGATTTGTTTTAATTAGGTGTTCTCTAATTGCTTGAGGTCAAGTGGAAGGACAGGAATCATAGCATCTGAGGAAGAAGATGTGCCAGTGGCTGTGGAGGAGAGTTATTCGGGCAACTACATTGTCGTTTTTGACCCTCTTGATGGATCATCCAACATTGATGCTGCTGTATCCACTGGCTCTATTTTCGGAATTTACAGCCCAAATGATGAGTGCCTAGCAGACATTGACGATATTGCCACGGTATGTCATTTAATTAATGACAATTTTGCACGTATTGGACGTTAGATTGAGAAATGAATATGATTGCCACTGTTTTAACAGGTTAAGCTTTTATATAAAATGTGGTTCGATCTAATCACATACATATAGGCTTGAGTTCTGTTTTTGTACCAGAGACTGAAATAAGTAAAACCTACCTAAAATAAGAATTTTTTACCATCTGATTTGTTGCAGCTCGACAATATGGAACAGAGGTGTGTTGTGAATGTTTGTCAACCTGGAAATAATCTTCTTGCAGCAGGCTATTGCATGTACTCAAGCTCTGTGATTTTCGTGATCACCTTAGGAAATGGTGTATATGCATTCACGTTGGACCCCATGTTTGGGGAGTTTGTGCTTACTCAAGAGAAAATTCTGATACCAAAGGCTGGAAAGATTTATGCTTTTAATGAAGGCAACTACCAGTTGTGGGATGATAAATTGAAGAAGTATATTGATGATCTTAAGGATCCTGGTCCGAGTGGCAAACCTTATTCTGCTAGATACATTGGTAGTTTGGTTGGTGATTTTCATAGGACTTTGTTATACGGTGGGATTTACGGGTATCCTAGAGACAAAAAGAGCAAAAATGGGAAGCTGAGGCTTTTGTACGAGTGTGCACCGATGAGCTTCATCGTTGAACAAGCTGGCGGAAAAGGATCAGATGGGCAAAACAGAGTCCTTGATATTCTACCAACTGAGGTATGTCAAATGATACTAGGAAATTTGATCTCTGTTGTAAATTGTTTCCATTTTAGTCCTCAGGTTTAATCTTTTATTGAATTTTTGTGCAGATACATCTACGAGTGCCATTGTACATTGGAAGTACTGAAGAGGTGGAGAAATTGGAGAAATATTTGGCTTAATTACAATGTAATTGTGGATAAGGTTTAATTTTTGCTAATATAGTTTATTCCCAAGTCTTCAAGAAGAAATTCCAGTAAAATTTTGGAAAGTCTTTCATATAGTAAAGAGTTTATTCTCAAGACTGCAATGTTTTTCAGCACTTTATTTTTGAACAGACAAATTGACATGATTTGAAAGTACGAGAAAGTAGTCATGATTCAGATAATCTTTCGTAAAATTGGAAAAAAAAACTGTTATAAATTGTTTTAGCCATCATCATTGTCTAGCCTTTTCATACAAATCATCCACCAATAATTAAGCTTTACGGTTATTGTAGGTCATTTTAGTATTTATGAATATTTGAAAATACTAGTTTGTGAAAAATTGTAATAATCTCGATCAATCTTCTAGTTAACTCTCATAGGTCTAAAATTGCAATTATGAGCTTATTTGGTAGAGATTTTGTTAATTGATTTTTTGACCGTTAGAGAAGAGAAAAGAATTCAAAAATGACGACTGAAATAGTGAAATAACGGTCAAAAAATTGATTTTAATTGACTTAACATATCTACCAAACAAGCGCCATATAACATCCTTACCTTTACACAATTATCAATTTATCATCACTGATATGCAATCAATACTCAACAAGGATGGCTGCAACCAGAATTGAACAAAGTTAAATGATTCATCATCCATTAATGATAATGACCTAACAAATTACTATAACTTTACATAATGCTGGAAAATAAGGAACCTAAAACTGAATGTCAGCATAAATTTTGTTGGGAGTTCTGAACCGGTACCAAGTCAGTATAAAAAATCGTCTGTAGTGTTGTCCAGTCAGTTTCAGGTAGACAAATTCTTTTGATCCAACGAGCTATGTTTTTTAGCTGCAAATGGAGCAAATAATCTAAGCCTAAATATGCATCATACATTTGAAAGGGAACTGAAAAGGCTGATCTTAGATTAAAAATTACCAGGACTCGTGAGTTTGATACGGTTAGTGACAGATTTCGGAGTGGCAACAGGATCTGGACCTTCTGGTGTTTGATAGAGTATGAAAACAAATTTAGTGTTACATAATCAAGACGTGACCGCATGAATATGTGTAAAGCATGAGTAACTACCTGATAAATTTGTGTTCTCTGGAAGAATTCCCTTAGTAGTAGACAAAAGTGTGACATAACTTAATATCCTGATGTATGAGGTGATCTGCCATCAATATACGGAGTTTAGGTAACTAAGAAAAATTAACTGACAAGGTTTTTCATAGAGAAAGAACAGTTTACCCCGAACAGGAATCTGGAGTGTAAATGGTTGCTTGCTGTGAAGAAAAATCAAGTCCTTCAACACCAAGATCAAAGTCAACTAGCAGTTCAGAAAGATTAAAGTCTAAACCCAAAGCATCCAAATTCGGAAAATCCAAGTCAAAGATATCTCCTTCCCTGTCAGATTCAGATGTTGAGGTACCGTCAGGTGTTTGGTTCTCTGCAATTACGGGCATATCAGAAGCACCAAAATCTAGCCTTCCTTTAGCATGGTCCCTCTTGTTAGACCTTGTCAAGTTTGTCTTAACTGGTGAGTTAGTTGAAATGCAGCGATTTTTCTCTATTCTATAGTAGGTTATTTGTTTGGCAGGGCTGACTAGAATTGTCTCAGAAGAGATTATGGTGCAGTCAGTGGATGTGATTTGTTGAGGAGTAACATCTTCATTGGAAGTAGCAGTAACCAACGGAGAAATTGATTTGTCAGTTTCAGAGGAAGATGCCCGTGTAGGTGTTTTGGGAATGGAGGAATTAGATGGAGCGGATGGAATATTCTGATTGAACAAACACTTGACAACATTAGATCCTTGAACTAGTGAACCACCAGGACCGTTGTCATCCTGCAACTGAACTGCAGAACCTTCTAAGGAACTTCCTTGTTTCGCTTCTGCATTGCTTAGTTGTGGAGGTATGTTTGCATCTGCAAATAAAAAAGACAGTTAACGAGCACCAAGACAATTGTAAGTATAATAAAATATGGAGGCCAACTTCTGGGAAAGTTTACCTTTGGTTTGTATTCGCCTGCTACATCTCTTAGCAGTTAAAGCATCTGAGACGTCTCTGCATTTTTTCCTTTTAGAAGCGGTCTGATTTGTAATCGGGGTAGAGAACTTTATGGGATCTCTTTGAGTGCTGGAGGGCCAGGATACAGACATCATAGCTGAAGTGTTGTACATGGGATAACAACCTAATGATAACAATAGATACTATGTAAGATACATTATAATTTCAGTGGCCTTCATAAGAGAACAATGAATCCATGCCAATTTAATTTCAATTGCATATTATATGTAGTAAAAATACAAAAGAAGAAACATTTCTCAGTTTCCTGATGGACATTGTTAAGAATATCAAATTTTTATAGGACTGGTGATTGTGTCTCTAGATGAAGGATAAAGAATGTAACCAAGTATCTCAATATTTAATCCCAAACCTACAAAGCAAGACCATAAGTTTCTCCATGCTTCGTTGCAAAATAGAGTTTTGTATCCTTAAAAGCAGAAAAAAGCTTAATCAATAAACTCAATGCACAGCCACAATTGAAAAATGATTTTCAGATCCCATTGCAGTTTAAGTTCAAACATCCGAAATGCCATTGTGCAAGCAGATTGAAGAAAGTGTTACAGGGTTTGAACAACGTTTTCTAGTTAATTGTTTTCGGCAATTTATATTAACTGACTCGTAAAACTAATTAGAGCAGAAAAGAGAAACCCCCGATGAAAATTAAAACTCTAGATCTGCTAAGAAATTTTCATCGGGGGTGAATTCTGTCTCGAATAATAAATCATACCATAAAATGATTTAAACGGAGTTCAGTAAGTCATAAAACGTTACCTGCAGGCGTCGTAACTGTGGGATCGGACGTAGAAACTATAGTCCCCGACTGTACTATTTTCTGAGATGCCACAGCTGTTGGCTGCACCGGCAGTGGAGGAGTAACAACATTATTTCCGGTAGCATTATAAGCATTCATTACATCCTGCATGCCCGTTAGCAATTTCTGAAGCTTCAATTTCTCCTGCTCCAAACGGCACCGTTCTTGATCCAACAACACTTTCTGCTCCTTCAACGTTATGTATTCATCCAGTATTGCCCCCAAACTCAACAAACTCTTCGGCGCCTGAAGCACAAAATGAACAAAAAAAAAAAAAACCATCACAAATCTTCAGAGCAAAACACTATACATCCCTCGAAAGCGATAAATTACTAAAAGATTTACTTCTTGAACTGGAGATTTGGCAATCAAATGGGAGGCTTCGGAGCGGAAAGTTGAGCGAGTATTTATGTAATTGTTGTCCGATAGGTAACGATCGACGATGAATGCGACCTGAACCGGAGTTACCTTGCCTTTGCCTATCAATTCAGGTTTTCTTGATTTGTTCTGCTTCCCCATTTTTACTTCTCTCTCTACAATGTGGAGAAGCAGAGTATTGAGAGAGAAACATATGCAGATTTGGAATCGGAGTGACAGGTAAGAGTGTAGGAGGAAGATGGAAACAAAATGGAGGGAGCATTTGAAAATTTTCCCTCGCTGTGTTTGTCATTTTTAATCACTTGGTAAGAGCAAATTTACCTGGTTTCGAGCCTTCTCTGAAAAAGTCGAAATAAAAATCACATAATCATTTCTGGTCAAATCATATATTGTGTGGAACTTATAATTACTGCTCACTTAACAACACAATTTAAAAGATGTGTAGAGGAAATTACACAAAGAGATTGTTTGGGAGTGATTTTTTCTCTTAAAAAATTGATTTTTTGATCATTATTTCACTATTTCAGTTGTCATATTTGACTTTTTTCTCACGTGTGGACCCCACTTTTCCCCCAACGATCAAAAAATCAATTCTCAAAATCACTCCTAAATAGGTTAAATACTAAAAACTTTCAAATTCAAAATTCAGGGTGAAATTTATTTATGCAAAAATTAGATATTATATATAATAATTAATCCATCCAATTCAATTGAAACCCTATTCATTTCGCCCATTTTCAAATTTCACAACCCCGTCTCTTCTTCTCTCTTCTCTTCATCGGCTTCTTTCTTTTCGATGCCGTCAACCCATTCAAACACTACAACGGTGATGAAGGGATGCGTCAGTGTGGGGAGGTGACATTACTATGAATGCAGCGTCGCGATATTGTAGTTCTTGTTCTCTTTTTCGATATGCAGAAGTGGTTTGGGCTCGTATCTACCTTCTTTCTCTTCAACACTGCAACCGATGCGAAGGAGATGCTTCAGTTGCGCGCGTGGGGGGAGGCGACATTTGCGAAGTTGCCGTTCCGATCTGCACTTTTGGAGAGGGAGTTTTGATCAGGCGGCGATAGGGATCTGTGGCGATTTTGTCTGAGGTGCTGGTGAGGTGTTGATGGTGGTGGCCACCAATCGACGATGGTGCTTTGTTGGCGACGCTGCAGCAGCTTCTTTATGTAGCATGAATGTGGGTGGTGTTTGTGACCTTGGCGGGTAACAATGTGGTGATGGTGGTGTGGGGATCTAGGTAGGACAGTGGTGTGGGTGGCGTTGGTGACCTCGATGACTTGTTGTTTTTGAGTCCCTTTTGGCAGTTTTTTTGTTGTTGTCTATGGTGTTTTGGTGGTGTGTGGTGGTGTTTTTGCAGTTTGTGGTGATTGTTAGTGGTGGCGGTGCGCTGTAGACGTGGTGTGATGTGGTGCAGTTGATTGTTGTGTTTTGATGGTCATGGTGGTGTTGTGGCGGGGCAGGGTGGGGCATAATAGTGATTGTGACCAGCTATTGGTGGTGGATTGGAATCGATAATGGAGTATTTGGTATATGTGACCAATAATTTGGTCTATGACATTAAAATTTGTTGAACTGTGACAAAAAATTAATCTGTGACCTTAAAATTTGATAATCTATGACTAAAAAATAATCTGTGACTTATAAAATTTTTGATTTGTAACCTCGTAATAATCTGTGACCTATAAAATTTTTGATTTGTGACTTTGATATAACCTGTGACTAATCAATTTGATGATATGTGACCAGTAAATAAATCTGTGACCTATAATTATAAATATGTGACTATTAATCGTATAAATGTAATTTTATTATCTTTATTTAGTAAATATTTTTAATTAATTACATATGTACCTTAATTTTGAAATTTTAAACTATCTACCTGATTTTTGAATTGGTGTGAACAATACACCTGAAAAAATGAATTTTTCCCTAATGTGTAATAGATAATCATTTAAATTATAATTTAATAACCCACCAAACATGCATCTAACTTTTACGAGGCTGTCGAACGCTCAAAGCACCAACAAACTTCTTATTATTTTGTTTATTTTTCGATAGAAACAATTTTGCATCCATAACAATTGGAATCAGAGACACGTATGAATATGTAGCTGGAGCAATAAGTGGAACATAGATAAATTATTCTAATATTTGGAGCAAGGAGTGGAACATTTAGTTAAGATATTTTTTGATCTATTAAATGCAAAAATGCAATTTTCATCTAGCAATCAAGATTGCAATGAAATATTTTCAATACTAACACGAACAATAAAATTTTAATTGATGTTTTCATGAACACGTGAAGCCATTTTTCGCCACACTTTCAAGAATGCGTGACATACAAGATTGAGGGTAGTGCAAATGATGATGTGATGTAGGTGAAATCATAAACTAGAATATTACGGGATCACAATTGCATATTCACGCATAAATTAAGGAATGGTTGAATATTTAAAAAGGAACATTTTCCAATTATTTTTAATAAATATTCATAAACAAAATGCTTACACAAGAAAAGTAGGAAAGAAAACCTATTTGATGAGGATTAAAATTAAATTTTTAGTCGATTTTGATAAAAATTAATGAAATATGTGATTGAAAAATAGTGAACTCATAAAATGTGTGATTAAAAGTTTTTGACTTTGACTTTGACTTAATGGATTTTAATTTCTACAAGGAACTAAAGTAAAAGCTAAAGACTAGTATTCCTTATTAAAGTGGAATAATCAAGTAAAGATAAAAAGTGGAAAAGAAAAAGACAAAAATCAATAAATTAATTATCCTAATCACAACAAAATATTAAGCTCTGTTTTATAATCATTCTTTCAATATTCTTTTTTGTATTTTCATACATATTTTTAACTATACATCCTCACGATAAAATATTTTTTATGTAAATTTTTTTTTTCACTTCTTATTTACACATTCTCCAAAAAATTATCATTCAAAAACCAATTCTACACCCAAAAAAAAAAAAAAAACGCTCAGATAGGGGCTAAATTAAATCCA